GAGTCCTAAACATCCACTGAGAGCAGATTTTGCCACCCAATGTGCAATCATATTTGAAGCTCTAGGGCTCCAAGAAAAGAAGAGTTGCCAACGGGAGGCGATGTATCTGATATCCCTAATAATCACAGCCACATTTCAAGGAAGAATATTCTCTAAATCATTTTTTCTTTCACAATTATTTATGTAACTAAGATTGTTTTAAGAAAGGGCTATTTTAATAAATTTCTTAATATTTTTTAAAAAGACTAATAAAAAAATAAAGAAAATAATTAACCTTTTTTGTAATAATTTTTAGATTTTTTAACTATCTTCTCCTATTACCAAAATAGCCCTAAAAAAATTATTCCAAATACTAATTACTGTGTTTGGTTTGAGTTTTCTGAATTAAATTTTTTAAAAATTGAGTTTTTTAGTTTTTGTATTTTTTATTTTTAGTGAATATATTTAAAATTTTAAACAATTTTTTTACTTTTTTAGATACACTTTACTTAGATGTATCTAAAAAATAAAAAAATTGTGAAAAAATATTTTAAAAAATTAATAAATACATAAAAATACAAAAAATACACTGAATTCTCTTTTTTTTTTGTATTTTTGATATTTAATGAATTTTTAAAAGGTTTTTTTCACAAATTTTTTATTTTTTAGGTATATTTATGTTAGGTATGTTTAAAAAGTAAAAAAAAAAATTGCTTAAAATATTTAAAAAATTCAATAAAAACAAAAAAACACGAAAAATAAGAAAGTAGAATTTTTTGAAAAGTGTTTTTGGAAAAATAGAACCAAGCAAGCTGAATTTTTTTTCACTTATTAAAAAGCTAAAAGAATCACATTACTGAAAAAATCAAGTTACCAAACGGGCACTTAGTTATCTCATAAAACATACGCATGAACCCTTAATTAATGGGCAGTTAGGCCATTTGTCTATTTCTGAATCTTTTGAGCCATTAGACCTAAGCTTTAATCTCCTTAGACCAAATGGATACAATTTGTTCAAAAAGACAACTATCTCTTAAAATTTACCAAACTAACTATTTGTTGAAATGTTACACGTCACTCATTCAACAATCACTCTATTGAATATCACATTTCTCTATTTCACCACTACCATCTGTAACTGCAACTGTAACTGTAACTTTTCCATCCAATTTTCTTGTGCGACCTTTTCCGGTGTGTTCGTATCACCAAACAAAATTTTACCTTTGGATAGACTTTCCAATAATTTTTCCTTAATTTAATTAAATAACCTTGAAAAACGTACCTCTTTTCTCTATTGCTTCTCAATCCTCTCTTTTCCTCTTCCCTCTCTCTACTCCTTGCCATCGACCATCCCTACCTCCCCAACCCCTCCATTGTCATCCCCACCACCTCTACCTACGCACAACACAATACAATATAATCACACAGCACATGACACTGGTGTGCTTCCTGCTTGTGAGGAGAGAAAGAATATCAAATGTGAGGATGAATGTTTTTTACAATATTTCTGATATGGTTTGGGAAAAGTTTTATTTTTCTTATGTTTTTTACACGATGGGGCTATAGGGGGATAGTGCATCTTGGAATTGTGGACCATATGGATCATGACTAGTAGAGGTTTCAAATGAGGCTGATTCATATGAAGCACCATCTTCATCTTGCGACTTCGCTTGGGCCAATAGTAACTTTACAATCTGAATAAGTTCGTCATTATTGGTCTTGGACTTGGGCTTTGACTTAGATGACTTGGATTTTGAAGGCCCAGAACTAGCTGTTAGGCTCCCAAGTCTGACTGTGGTAAGAGAAAATGGGCTTCCTTAAGTGACTGAAAGAGTTAGGTTCTGCTGAGAATATTTAACCATTGCAGGAGTAGGAGCATAAACATTGATTGCAAATTCTTGCTAGACTTGTTCAATAATGTGTTGAACTTTGAAAGCATCCCATCATTTGACAAAAATGTTGGCGACTGACTAGATTGTTGGAAATATTGTATTGCCATTTAAATATCCAAGGGACTTTATTTTTTGGACAAAAATGGAGCAATACAGGGAATTGACTTTTATGTTGACTCAATTTATAAATTGAAGAGAAATAATTGACTTTGTAACGCCTCAAATTTCTAACCCAAATGATAATACAGCAATCATGGCTCTTTCAAAGAAAACCGAATATAAATCTTCAAACTTACATTACATGATACAATAGTTCTTCATGCAACAATACATTAATCCAACAACAAGTAAATAAACAAATAAATATATACATTTTATACAAGTCTCAAAAGATGAAATGCACATGCCATGCTATGCCCCTTTTTGAAAATAAGGGCTGGTTTGGGGTGTCCTAAAAAAGTGCACTTTTTGTCTTTTTAGACTAAAAAAGTGAGGAAAAAAATATGGAGGTTTGGGTTAACTTTTTGACTTTTCATGAAAATGTGTGCAATATAATATTATTACACATGGTAAAATGTCTCTTTTACCCTTCCCAACTGACACATAAACAGAAACACGTGTCGCGTATTCGTGGCTGTCAACCAAGTGCAACGGTACTTTCAATTCAAATTTTTTTATTCAGCAAAAACAAGTACTGTGCAACGGTTTGCATGCCTTGTTTTCTTATGTTCATTCTTTTCCTTTTAATTTTTTTTTTCTTTTATAGTCATTTTTTTTTCCTTGTAACATTTTTGTTTTTTTTATTTTTCTTTTTGAAAGAATTTATTTTTTTAATACCATTATTATTTGTTTTCACAAGCACGAAAACAAATATGTTTTCCTTTTTTAAAGATTTTTATTATTTTTTGTATTATTTTTTTTTGTTTCCATTCTTTTCCTTTTAACATAATTTTTTTTGGATTTCTGTCAGTATTCTTCTCATTTTAACATTATTATTTTTTTATTCTTTTCCTTTTAACATTATTAAAATTTTTATTCTTTTCCTTTTAACATTATTAAACTGAATCTTGCTCGTGAGAGCTGTTTGGCTCTGATACCATAATAAGAAATGAGAAAATAATATGTCATTCACCACACCTTTGATATTTAGGCCTTCATCTATTTATAGTTCATACAAGAGAGTTGGTTAAGAAGTTGTTACAACAAATTCTAAACTAACAAAACAAACTCTAACAGATACTAACTGCATAACTGCATCTATACTTTGGCTGTTGGGACTTCATATTCTGTTGCATACTCTGGTTCTCATCAGTCCCCCTCAAGATGATGGGGCTAGGAAGCACCAGAAGCTTGGATTTAAGATAGAGAAACCGAGGAGAAGAAAGGGGCTTAGTAAAGATATCAGCAATCTGATCATCAGTAGCAATATAAGCCAAAGAAATTTGTTTAGAGACCACTTTTTCCCGAATGAAATGACAGTCCACCTCTATGTGTTTAGATTTAGAATGAAACACGGGATTGGAGGCTAAGGCCATAGCAGAAACATTGTCACACCATAACACAGGTACAGCAGAAGCAGGAACATATAACTCTTTGAACAATTGTTGAAGCCAACAAATTTCGGCTGTAGTGTGAGCCATAGACCTATATTCAGCCTCTGTGGAAGATTGTGACACTGTGGGTTGTTTTTTAGAGGACCAAGAGATAAGATTGGAGCCAAGATAGATACAAAAGCCAGAAGTAGAGCGTCTATCAGTGCAATCCCCGGCCCAATTGGAATCAGTAAAGGCATGAAGATCATAAGACCCTTTTGTGAAAGTAAGACCATGAGAAACAATGCCGTGAATATATCTGAGCAGACGTTTAACTAGAGCAAAGTGAGCATTAGTTGGGGCTTGCATATGCTGACACGCTTGATTGATAGCAAAGGCAATGTCAGGGCGTGTGATGGTTAAGTATTGTAAAGCACCAACGATGCTTCTGTAAAAGGAAGGCTGAGCATAAGGAAGCACATCAGTAGAGGAAGGACCAGCAGAAGACTTTGGAGCAATAGGTGTGGAGCATGATTTACACTGAAGCATACCAGCTTTTTGTGGAATATGTCACACACAACATGTGGTATCCTGTTTACAGCCCTCTTGTTCATGAGAAATAGAGTTCCCATCATCTCTCTCTCTCCCTCTCCACGATAGATTTTTTTCTGCAGACTTTGTCTCGATGTTCTGCAGCCATTCATATGTTCATGGTCAGTTATTATTATGTAACTGTAATTTCCCGAGCCCAGAACAATAACGGACGAAATGGCAGAACTGGAGAAAGGAGGTCAGGAGTGAAGAATGACCCCCCTGCAGTTGTTTGTAAAGCCCTTTTGGCTAAGTAAGATGCTGGTCATGGATTGTTAATCTTATTGCATTTTTTTAGTTTTTTCAAAATATTGTAATTTGATCAGTCATCGATGATTTTGGCCTCCTTTATTGGAACTTACTGAAAGGGAATGATATTGAAGGCCTAGGTGGAATAGGAGGAGGGAGGGAAGCAAGCAAGATAGGGACAATAACAGATAAAAATTAACAGAATAATAAGATTAATAGTAAAATAAAATTAAAATAATAACAGCAACAATAATTAAAAGATAGATAACTGAAATGATAGTAAAATTAATAATAAAATTAAAATAATAATAAAAAGACAAATAACTTACAATCATAAATTGTTTACTAGAAATAACTTGAAAGTCTAGCTTCAAAATACACAACTTCAAAATACAATTTGTATACAATTTTTTGAGAATTAGATAAATCAAGAATCCACCTGGAAATTCACTCTTGCTTTTATTCTCAAAAAATTGTATTTAAGTTATATTTTAAAGCTGGACTTTCAAGTTATTTCCAGTAAACAATTTACGATTGTAAATTATCTATCTTTTAATTTTTATTTTAATTTTATTATTAATTTTACTATCATTTCAGTTATCTATCTTTTAATTATTGTTGCTGTTATTATTTTAATTTTATTTTACTATTAATCTTATTATTCTGTTAATTTTTATCTGTTATTGTCCGTATCTTGCTTGCTTCCCTCCCCCCTCCTATTCCACCTAGGCCTTCAATATCATTCCCTTTCAGTAAGTTCCAATAAAGGAGGCCGAAATCATCGATGACTGATCAAATTACAATATTTTGAAAAAACTAAAAAAATGCAATAAGATTAACAATCCATGACCAGCATCTTACTTAGCCAAAAGGGCTTTACAAACAACTGCAGGGGGGTCATTCTTCACTCCTGACCTCCTTTCTCCAGTTCTGCCATTTCGTCCGTTATTGTTCTGGGCTCGGGAAATTACAGTTACATAATAATAACTGACCATGAACATATGAATGGCTGCAGAACATCGAGACAAAGTCTGCAGAAAAAAATCTATCGTGGAGAGGGAGAGAGAGAGATGATGGGAACTCTATTTCTCATGAACAAGAGGGCTGTAAACAGGATACCACATGTTGTGTGTGACATATTCCACAATTTCCTCCTGCAATCAAAATATTAAAGCCACAGATGAATACCTATAACAATAACACAAACTCTAGTTGAACTGAGTTTGACATATTTATGACTTTGCTAGTATCATTTTTGAGGTTAAAAATGAAAGATGAAATCAATCCATACTTTTGACATCTGCGTGAGCTCTCGGGCTCCCACATCACCGTGTCCTTCTGCCAGTTCTTCAGCAACAGCTGCTTGAACAACAGCAGCTCCAACCTCTGCCGTTATATGCCGAATGCTGCAATGATGAGTAGGCCACACCATTAACAAATTAGTTGGGGTTCTTTTTCCTGTATTATTCTAATTTTATTATGGGATGTCTTCAAGGGGATTAGAGGTTGGCTATTTAGTTTTAGGGCCAAAAACGAGCCGAGTCAAGCTCAGTAGTAGATTGTTCAAGCTTGGTTTGATCATTAAATGAGCTTAAAATTATGTTCAAACTTGACTTATTTACGTAACGAATTGATCTCAGACCAACTTTTACCAAGCCAAACACGAGTTGATTTTTTATAGTGTATATAAACTTATCAAGCTGAGCAGTAGGTTGTTTGAGCTTGATCTGAACACTTTAACGAGTTTAGTTTGTTTACATAACGAGTCTATCTCAAACGAGTTTTAACAGCTGTATTTTGTTCTGGCTGCTTTAGATAAAGTAAAAGAGAACTTGATTGTAGTATCAACCATATAGTCACAATGAATGGAAAAGGTTTCATAGTTCTGAGTTCACAAACACAAAGATTACCATGGCTATGTAGTCTTTGCAGACTACAACCACCTGATTGTTGATTATTTTTTATATATTATTATATCTAAAACAGAAAACCTACTAATCAGAGAGACTTTCCGCACTACTATTAGATGGTTGAGGTCAACAACTTGTGTAATAGGCAGGGCTTCCACATACACACTCAGTTTAAACAAAAAAATAAAAGAAGAAGAAAGAGGGACGATGAAGCTCTGTTCAGCCCTAAATTGCCAAACAAATTGAAGTTACATAGACCTACTTCGTTGAACATCCTTATGTTGTTCAGAATATAACTCAACTTGAACATAACCAGTTTATTCAACCAGTCAAACATTTGTTTGAACGTGTCAATGTTCATCACATTTGTCCCAACATATCAAGTTTGTTCAAAAACAAAAAAAAATTAAAAGTCATAAAATCACCAATTATGTTGAAAAATAAATACATTTTTGTTGTGAGAATCCTCCCATTACTCAATTAAATGTATATAAGTTTTATGAGATTGGTGGTGATTTCTTAGTGAGGATGAGAATGGGAGAGTTGGGAGGGCATACCTAATTTTTTGACTTTTAAGTGTAATTTTTCTTTGTAATAAAAAATTCATTAATTGGTGGGTGTATAGAGAAAAAAAGAAGGGAGTGTATCTAGAAGCACCCTAATATGTTGAACTTTACTAGAAATTACAAATATGTGAGCTACTGTCTAATTGACTCCAAATTTTGAGGAATTCAATGTATTAATCATTAATTTTCTAATTGAACTAAGAAAAATACCTTCTAGTAGGTGGATACAAAATACCCTGCTGAATTTCTTCATCTGTAATATATGAAGCAAGGCTGCACAGAAAGAATTATATTAGCAATATTATTGTTGCACATAATGTGATAATCAGAAGAATAAGAATAGGTTGAGCCATATACAGAAAATCACCCAATCCTTAGTAACTGTCCACACCTCGATGCATAGGTTAACAGTTCAAATCATTGAAAATGGACTCATGGTGGGCTCCACAGGCCCCTCAAGATCAGATTTGAACGTGAGAGAAGCCCAAAATGGATTAAGATGCCTTTAGCTCTTTTAGCATTTAGAATTTGAAATTGCACCCAGTTTTTGATTAATATCAACCAAAAATTTATGAACCGAGTTAAAAGATAGGAGGAGGCTCAATCCAATCACTTAAATTCTGACATTGCTAATTAAAATTCTCATTCATAAAGAGAAGAAGAAGAAGAGAAAGAAAAAAAATAAACTCATGTTTGTAATAGCAGATGGAGCACCCAAGCCAAAAAGAATGTATGCTTTCTATGACACATAAAAATAAAAATAAATAAATAAATAAAAATAAAAAAAGAGCCTGATAGACCTAACTTGAGCCACCTTATTCCATGGAAGCATGGCTAACAATCCAACAAGAGTGGATAAGCATTCCCCTAATGCATGGGCCAATTTGACACCTACTAAGATAGGCACGAGCAAGTGGGATTAGAGTGAAACTGCCAAGGGAAACACCAACCTCTTGGTAATTCTTTTCATGAACTTTTCTCATGTTATAAAAGTTGTGAGGACAGTACGTTACACAGTCCCATTATAAGTGCAAGGCAAGATTCATATGTCAATAGTTTGGAAGCTGGTGCATTTGTATATTGAGGTCAGCTGAGTCTAAAGAGAATTTTGGGATGGATATGCCTCATTATTATTGTTTCTCCAATTTTCTAGTGCAGCCCAATGCTTTCTTTTTTTTCCCCCCAAATAATCTTACATGCTTTTATTTCTTTTGTTTCTCTTACTCATTTTAATTCTACCCCTCAAAAAGTTCATTTCCCACGAAATGGAAGATAGGATGCAAAGGGAAATATATTGGGCCTTCTGGTCTCTCGCATCTTATAATCAGAATTGCACCTTACAATGAACAATGTCATAGAAAAAATTACACAAACCCACCCTCCCAAATTTGGGAGTTCAAAACATTACTCATACATGTGGTGTATGAATGCCACTAGTAGTCAGTTGTTCATGGCTGCTATATAATGATAACACCTTATTATAAATATAAAAAAAAATGTCACTCTAAAATGATTACAAAACTAATGTTAGAACAAAGTGGTCAAATTATTCAATTTTTACCATTCAGCAGCTGCTAGCAACATTCCATCTGAAATAAAATGAGAACCTGAGAGAAGAGCTCCCAACCCAACCCTGACTCAAGTCAAAAAAGTTTCAGATAGTTGTTAAAAATTAAGCACAATAAAACAATAATTTGGAAATTAGCCACTAACCAGGGAAACAGATACATATTATTTGCTTGATTTACGTGGCCCACTTTGCCCAAACACTTCATAATAAGTTATCATCAAGAGAAAGAAACAATACCAAGGTCAACATGTTTAAAAGGGCTCCCACTTGCAAAAACTATATGTTCTCCAGCATGCTTGAAAGCATCAACAGCAGTGCATTCAGCTGCACCAAAGAATATGCAAATACTATGTTCAATAGAGAAATTGGGAGTTCTATAAGTAAAATATGGTTTAATTTAGAGGTCTTGTAAAGACAAACCATTCAATGTTGGATTTGACATAGCAAAAATGGCAGGTTTAGTAGAATCCGACTCTCGCATGGCCTTAAGCACCTGATTTACATGCAAACAATATAAGTAAGGAATATGCAAATGTAAAAAGACACACATCTAACGAGCTCAAAAATTTACTGTCAAGTATCCATTACACAGAGAAAAGGGGCAACACTCACCTTTATTGTGCTTAGTTAGTGTCTTACAGTTAAAAATACACAGCCAAAGTTGAGTATGAGAGGATGAGGAAATTGAGCATGTGAGGGTTAGTAGGAAAGGGCATAATGACCATGGATTTGACTGAGGATATTGCTCTTCAGAAAGCTTTCTAGAAAAGGATTCATTAAGTCAAACTAACTAGTAAAATTGGTGCATTGTTGTGTTGAGCTTAGTGGAGCGAACTATAATAGTGATGATAACAAATGACATTTAGTTATCTCGATGAGGTATGCTTTTATATCCTAATAATAAATGGATGAATCGGATTATGTAGCAGAAGTTGGATAAGTAAAATGATAACTTTGATAGGATAAACAAAAACCATCTCTAAAAGGTATTGCCGACATTTAGCAAGTGAGAACAAAAAGTTGCATAGCAAAATGGATTCCAAAAAAACAGAAATCATTTCTCTGTCGAGCATAATATCACAGAAAGCCAAGACTCATATCTCCAACTATATAGTTGAGGCCTAGTTTACATGGACTCCAAACAAGAATCAGGTGTGGGTGTGTATCCAAATGTCATATCTTTGTAAACCTCAATATTTGGAAATTGAGATGTATCCAAAAGTTGGGTACAGGTACACAGAGACATCTGGAATATTTACATATATTGCGTATTACATGATATAGGATTTAGGGAAAAGGGGGGGGGACTTCTATCTCTCATCCATGTCAGAGGCTAGAAAGTTTTCTTACTACCAAATGTGAGTTTCTTCTTCAAGCATTGTAAAAAATAAAGGATCCAAGCATCTAATTTTGGTACGAATATTTGACACATATCCCATACACTTACCCTTGCCATACACTAGGAGGAATAGAAGCAGGGACGAGAATCCAGGAATATCACTATGGGGGTGCGAAAGTATGTTTGGGAGTGCAAACCCTTATAATTTTAAATTTTTTAGTATAATATATGATGATTTTCAAATTTTTGAAGGTGCCTGCCCCCAGATCCATCCTTTAATTGAAGAGTCCATATAACACTTGTTGGAGCAGCAAGTGTAAATAGATTTGCTCCAACTAATACCATTTGTCGACAACTAACCAAACAGTACAAAAGCCAGAACAACATGCTTTCCCAACTAGAATTAAGCCAACTTCACTGGTTTATTATGCTTCATTTAAAAGTCGGAAACCAAAGACAAGGAAAAAGCAGACTTAAGGGTTTGCCACCTCCTCATTGAAGATACCACCAACTCCAGACAAACCAAGTAGCACATGAGGCTTGACCTTCTTAACCTGAACAAAATTCATTCCCAGCAATTAGTTTTCATAGAATTATGAAAGTACAAAACTCCTAAAGACAAAAACAAAAATCCTTGAGCCAAAAGGTCCAGATTTCATGTATTCAAGAAGCAAGCTAAACAACCAAAGGTTCTTGTTCATACAAATATTATATTAGATCAGCCTTGAACCGACAGAGGTTGCCAAAAAACAATCCAATAAGATTTACCACATCAACAAGATTTGCTCCCTCTCTAAGTCCCAATCCCTCAATCTCTCCAGGGGCTTTAGCAAATGGTGCAGCTGCTGGATCAATATTCTTCCTTGCCTTTGTGATGAGACCCTGCATTTAAAACAATTTTAATTGAGTATTATTGCTTGAAGAAAAAAATCCCATGAACAGGAGTCAATAATGCCATCACCCTATTGACAGGTTTGTCTAAGACATATGTTTTCCTCATTTTATTAGAAGATAAATATTCAGTAAAAAATAAAAAAAAGGTTATAATTTATAAATATGGCGATCGATATTTTCAGCACAAATGTTAAAGAGCAAGTAATGTGTGTAGAACCACACATCTTTATCAAGTAGGAAAAACTGAGGATTTGCTGCTGCTCCTGCCATTCTTGAAACAGCCTGCACAGCCATGCCAAGAACGCCAAGCCCTGCACTGAAAGCCAGAAAAGCCAGAAAACAAATAAGATGCAACTTGCAGTTGCCACTATAAACCATCTTAAATCATAAAGAAGTTGCACATAAACCGGAATACAGTTCATTAAAATTGAATTTCACCGGTACCTTCCAGCTCCAACTACAACTATCTTTTGGTTCACAAAGTCAGTCAATGGCCGACCTTGTGCCCTTACAGTCCCAAGCAGTCCTGCCAGTGCAACACCAGCAGTTCCCTATACACGACATGAACTCAAGCAATATCAATGTCATTATAGTGGAGCTACCATTAATAATCTCACATCACTTTGAGCCCTATTATATTATTCACTGCTTCCATGGAGAATAGCAGAATACAAAACCAAGAACTCACCTGTATGTCATCATTGAACATGCAAAACCTTTTACGATACCGTTGCAGTGTCTCAAAAGCCCACTTCATTTGGAAATCCTCGAACTGATAAGATTCCCCAACCATCAAGTTATCAGTAAGATACTGTTTACACATCAAATAAGATGTCATACTTCTGAAAGAACTGGACCTGCACGATCGCCTTGGGCCAACGTGCATGAACCGCCTCCATAAATTCATCAATAATTGATAGATACTCTTCTCCTTCCAACCGAGGTTGTCGTAGTCCTAAATCTGTTAAACTAAAATCTTGTGAAAAGAAATTCTGAAGTTTGGTACAAAGAATGGGTTCACAAGAATTTCTGTAGTTTGAATTAGTAGAAAATATGGAAGAAAAAATAGAGTATATTCAGCAGAATTATATATTAACAATGGATAAACATGAATGGAGATCAATATTTCAAGTTTTTTTGGATTTAACTGCAAGTTTATAGAGATCAAAAATTATTTTTTTTCTGTATATTTCTTAATTTTTCATAACTTTTATCCATGTTAAAGTTGGTTCTAACTTCTAAGTATCAATTATTATTGAATGCACTTTGCATAGGAAATTAGCATACTCAACAAATTGAAGTCGTTACCTCTGTCAGCATTCAATGTCTTCCAGTTGAATAAGAAAAGAGAAATGATAAATATATGAAGTGTTATGTCCAATATTATAATGCTTCGAATCTCTTTTACAGAAACCTATCAATTGTATTTGTGAAATCACTTTTAATGAAATTCATATTGTTGTTGCAGTCATCTGCAAGGACTCTAGCAGTTCTTCACCAGACTAGAAGCTGATTTCAGAGTCATTGAACGTGCCTATATATCATGATTGAAATAGTGTAAAGTCATGCTATGATAGTCAAATATGGCCTAGAACAGGATGCCTGACTACAAAATTGAGTAATCTTTTGGTGCATTAGATTTGTCCATCTTCATCTACTGATTCATATATTATCCTGGTGATTCTGTCTCTAGTGACACAGTCAGCATCAATGAAGTTACATATTTTTCTTATCATAGGTCATTTGCATGGTACCCTCAAAAGTCCAGAGACTTCAACTTATATGAAAAATATTCAACTTACTGAGAAATTTTTTTCTGTAAGTTACATACATCAGAATCATCAGATATAAACATATACCTCTGTCAGCAGAATACTTATACTAGTAAAAAAAAATAATAAGTATAAATATTATATGTACGGTGGAGTATGCATCTGGGTTAAAACAGTGTGTTTCAGCTAATATTAGCAACGGTGAGAAAGAACACAAGCAAATTAAGCAAAAGTGTGAACAGCTCAAATAACAGAAGCAATAAGATAGTTAATTATGTTAAAGAGCCAGTGATCTGATTGAATATAATGAGTCCCAAAATGAGAACCCGTCACCATTTATGAGGCATAGATAATAAGACAAGTTAAATAAAGAAAAAGAACCACAGAGCAGAAGAGAAACAGTGACAAGTCAACAAATTTCTACTCACAAAGACGATCTTCAAGAAGATTTTGATTGTTGGTACCAACATCAAGCATAACCGGGAGTATCTGTTATCAAAGATAAACACAGTTAGATTGGTATAAAAGAAAGAGAAAGTGAAAGGATAAAACTAATGTCCAAAAGTGGACATTAGTTTTTGAGATCTGGTTGACCCAAGTATCTTTGAGATCTGGTCAACCCAAAATTATTGTTACTTTTTCAGACATCTATCCTTCTATCTCATCTATAAAATTTATATATGGAAGGAAAATAGCCAACACATTTTCATAGCATGCAAACATATCACCACAACGTGTCATGATCCATGTCAAGCACGGCAAGTATCCTTCGTGTTAGCCTGAATGTGTATATTTTTTGTGTCAGTGTGCACAGTTGTGCAGCAAAGCACTCTCCGAGGGCAGGTAATGTCTAATTTTTTGATCCTGTTATGGGAGAATAGGGCAAGAGAAGGACAATTGCACTTATGCACACTAGTATATGTATACCTATTCAATTGTAGTAAACACCTCTGTGAACATGTACACACAACATGCACCTGTACATATAGAAAGAGAGATGAATAGAGCATACTCTTTGTGGGTTGATACCAGCAGCAGCAACATACACATCAAGTTTTCCAATGGGTATTCCAATTCCCTGGACTCCAAGATCACCAAGGCCAAGAATACGACTGCCATCTGTCAGGACAATCATATCGACCTGAAATATAGAAGAATTTTCATTTCCAGTGCAATAAGGGACAAAACCTTTTAAGCTGCAAGGAATGCTGAATTTGTACAATTTTCATTTCTTTGCATGCAAAAATGCTCATATGGTAGAGAACACACTCTCCAGTGTAAGTTACTTTTTTGGCCTTGCAGTTATCAAGTGTAAGCAGCAATCATATTAACGATCTAACCTCAAGTGAGCACACTCTATCATCTGCACTATACCACATAGAAATTTAACTATTCTATTTTTACTACAATTTACAATTTCCTGCAAGCTTTGCAGCTTGACAACTTTTGAGAAGAAATTACTGTGGAAACACAATAAAGTAGAAAACACCGTTCATGTATAGCCATCAAGTAGGTGAAAGCAAAAAAGAGAACAAAAGCATACAGTAACACATTCTAGGTTTGCATAATACCTCATGAGCAGGCCAGTTATAGATCATGGACATCATCTCTCCTTTATCTTTTGCACTGAAATACATTCCCCGCGGACGTCTAAACAACCCTGAATAGTTTTGACATACCAATCCTACTGTAGGAGTGTATATTATTGGAGCAAAATCTTCGATGTTATCAATAAGGACCTGGAGAGAAAAGCAATAGAATTGAATCAAATAATTATTAGATTCTCTCTAGAAAAAGAAAGATTATAATTAATTCTTAAATCAAATATTGTTTGCAAGCTGATATTTGCCACCAAACTTACTCGGTAGTATAACGTCTCATTCCTGTCATGCAGTCTATTCAAGATCCTCCATTTTGCTAATGACACAACACCTTCTTGTTGGCCTTGAGTATTTTTTTCAAGCGATCGATACGACTCCACTAACAATAGAAACAACATAGCATCAAGACCACTAATTTTGGAAACAAAATCTATTATAGAAGGAAGAAGAATGAAAAAAAGGAAAAAAAATTGTAGGAGAAATCTCATCTAAGGTCAATTCGCATCGAGAGAATGTTTGTGGCTGAGTACTAGGGGAGGTTACAGATAAAATAGTTAATTTGATATGCAAAAATATTTTCTTTTTTTTTTTTTTTTGGTCTACTGCTTATTGCAAAATCAGTGACACCAAATATTGGACATAACTTTCCGAGCACTTAAAAATTACATACAAAAGGGAGTGCTTCATCCAAAATAGTTAGCTTTGTGGATGGGTGGTAGAATACGGGGGTTTTAGGGTTAAAGGTGCATCAAAAGGATAGAGTTTTAAGAAAGACGATACAAGATAGAGTATTAATTATAGGTATCACTGTCCCGAGAACAAACCATAGTGGGTATTAAACTTACTAAAACGATCGTATTGCTGCTCAAATGATATCACACGAGGAGGGAGGAGACCACGGAGCCCAAGTCTATCTCTTTCCGTTAAAGGGAAGCCAGTATCCTGCATTTGGAAAATCCACAAGGAAAAATGATAAAATAAAAACAAAACAAAGCAAAAGAAGAAATCGGAAAAGGCTTCAAAGTCAATAGGGAATTTCTCCACCAATAATCATGGAATTCATTTAAATGCATGCTCATCAGTAGTCTGTACGTGAAGCTAGCACGGGCAAATAACTGAAATGCTTGTATCTTACTGCATCTTTCACAAATAATACAGGATAAGGGGATGGACCAGATAAAGTCCTAACCTATTCTCAAACCCATACGTGAATTCTCACGCTTGACAGCCTTATCTTTTATTTATTTTTCTGGAATGCCACTGAACTTGTTTCAAGCACCCAAAAAAAAAAAAAAGCCAAGCTATGGCTTTTTCAAAATCATAGCACAATATTTTATCATGTAAAAAAAACAATCCTCATCTATTCCTTCACATTCAGAATATCAACGAAAAATTGTATTGGCCTCTATCACTTAAACAAAAGTACAACTAAAATCCAAACTAACTAAAATCCAAACTTCATTAAGAGTACCATCCACTGGGACAAATTGAACACATATTCAACATCTCCACTCTACAATGTCCAATTCAGTAGCTTTGAGCACTGAACTAATACAATCTCACAAAGAATTAACATTACTCGTTCAACGCTCATACATCAGATAGTATAAATTTCACAAAATTATACCCAATGCCCCTATAATTTGACTCCTTGTGTCAATTTGGTCCTCGTAATTCTAATTATATCAATTTTGCCTCTTAATTTTTCACATTGTGTCCATTTAATCTAATTGATAATATTAAATTGGACATAAATCAAGACAAACCAGAAATGAAGATAAAAGATTGACCTTATTGAACCACGGATCATGAAGAATATCAGTACCGCGCTTGTGAACTATGCAGGGACCAGGGATGGCCGTCGAGAACCGGCGGAGATTCGTCGCCGCAGATCGAACGAGCCTCCACATTTTTTTAAACCCTAAAATTCAAACACCAAACACAAAAAGCAAACTCTAACTCTCAAGATCAAAGAACACTCACTGACTTTCAGTCCACTTTCTAAAACCACTTGTGGTGTTGGTGTGTTTCACACAACAACATTGTGAGAGTGAGTAGCTCTGAGTCTTATACAAGTTATAGAGAGAGAGAGAGAGAGAGAGAGAGAGAGAGAATGATATCCATATATGTGTGTAGAGAGAGAGATGGGGGGTTTGCTAGAATCATATAGCAAGAAGAGCGGAAGAGAAGAAGAAAAAAAGAAGGAGAAAAAGAAGAAAAGAAAGAAGAAAGAAGAAGAATAACAAACCCTAGCTTAAATTCAACCTAGGAAGTATTCTAAGGTAAGATTTCACCCCTAATTCTTGTAATAAACTCTCCTAGCATCTAAGAACAAGAAAAAACTAGGATTAAATTTGACTAGAAATGGAAAAAAAAATGAAGGAGATTGAACTAGGATGAAGAACATGCAAGATGATCCAAATTTTTGTTGATTTGATCTTGTTCTTGATGTTTTTGATTCATAGAAAGTGACAATTCCACATTTAGCCATGTTTTTTGCTTGTTAGGTGCTCGAGCGACCACAACCAGGCGCATGAGCATACAGAATACAATTTTCCTAATGACCGCTCAAGTGGCCTAGGAAACCTCTTGAACGGCACAGCCTCCACACGTACGATTGAGGCTGGCGCACGTGCGACTAGTTACAAAATCATTTTGCTGAACCCTCTGCTCATGCGGCCAAATTCGAGAGCATGAACGGCCAGATAGGGCAATTGTCCATTTTGAATTCTTTTCGATCCTTTTGGCCTTCCAGAATTCCTTGTACATGTTTTGAACCTAACAAAAATTAAATACAACTTGAAATCAATTTAAAGTGTATTTGATTAGAGAAGAAGACTAAAACTAAGCCATATGTTTAAGAAGCTTGCAAATTATCTGCGTATTTCAATATTTTGTTCTTGTTTCGTGTGGGTTAAGCTTTGAAGGAGTTTATACCCTTGTTCATAGAGCCATTTGTGAGTAATAGTGTAGTAAAGTTTTGTTTGTTAAAATTATAATTCGAAATGCAAACCTATGGTATGTTTAAGAAAGTTATGATATTATTTTACTATGAATGGACATCCTATACTCTTGTATCATGTATTAAGATGACATTTTGGATCATGTTTGTCATTGGGAATCATGCTAATAACCTCTAACTGACTGAGCTTCTCTAGCCGCCTATTGTGGACTCTTGATTCGAAAGCCTTGGAATGTTTATCGCTATATGTATGCTTGCAAGTTAAACTTGTTGTCTTGGCAAAATTATATTATGTTTGAAATGATCTTATGCTTGGTTTTAATAAAATTTATCGGTGTTCATTCATTTACCACTTTATTATATTACTATTCACTAGGCTTTGGCTCACCCCTCTCCTTTATATGTATGTAGGTGATGATGAAGATCAAGTTCAAGAAGACGGAGCAAACTAGAAGTCTTTTTCTTTTTGTTTTGTACTTTTGGGAGTGACAGTTTAAAGGCGATAGCCTTGTATATATGTTTTGGTTTTTGTTAAGAGTATGTTTGTAAATGTTATAATTATCTTTTTGTGTTGTTTGGACTTGTAAATGTCAAAGAAAATAAAATGAGAAGTTTGCTTGTTATTTTATATGTTTTATGCACATGCTTTGAATGAACTCTTTGTAATCAATGGACCAATGTTTCCATTTAAGCCCCAATGTTTTTATTCCAGTCTTGTCTTGTCTTGTCTTGCTAGACCTTCAATAGTCCAACACTACTAGTTGGCCACAACTGCTATCCTTTATGGGGTAGGATGGGGTCGTGACACCTACCCTTCAATCCTTACTCTTCCCAACCCCTTCAATCATATCTCAGTCCCTTCTTCCATCCCCAACCTAAAAGTACTGCCACAATCGAGCTATAAAATGAGGATCCCTATCCGAAACGATGGCCACCAAAACTCCGTGAAATCGAACAATATCCCAAATATATAACTCGGCGAGGTCACCCACAAAGTCACTTGTTTGCATTGGAATGTAGTATATGAATTTGGTCAGGTGATCAATAACTACTGAAACAACATCATTACCTCTTTGAATTCTAGAAAGCCCTACAACAAAATCTATAGTGACTTGTTCCCACTTCCACTCGACTATAGGCAAATGTTACAACAATCTCGCCAGCTCTACGCTCTTGAATGATCAATCACAATAAGTCTTATCAACTACGACTAGGCAATAGGTTGCCCGACCCACACAACTCGCTCAATCCGACCCTACTTGTAAGGTTTTAGGCAATTTTGAGAGATAGGTAGGGTTGGATTTTTAGATAAAATTGCAGGTTGTAGACGAGTTGCAGGTTACACTCAATTTGCCCGCATTATTAAATAAATAAAAAATCTCTAACCTCCCACATGGGTTATTCATTTTCTCAAACATTTTTATCTCAACTTCATTGTCTTTCCCCACTTATATGAAACCTTTGTGCCTATTGAAAGAACTGAAAAAAGAATGTGGGATGCAAGACCAAATCATGTTTGTTTATATATATATATATAT